AGCCATATCCCTGCTTCTCCCTGAGACTGTAACTTCTCAATTCTGTAACGGTTCCTGCCATTGCCTGGCTAGGGCTCTTCTCCAAGCCCTAACTCGGCCATCCTCAAGGTACAGCTGCAATCTCATTTTTCCAACTCAACTCTTAGGAAGCAGCCCTGACACCATGGGTACAAGGATAAGCAAGTTCTGGATAACAAGTCAGGTACTGTATGGAAGTGCTTTGAACACTAACTCAGTGAATCCTCAACCTGATGAGGTTGGCACTATTTATTCCTGCTTTTTTGGTGGAAGATGGGAAAGAACCTAGAAGGGCCTTTGTACATGCAGGCCTTGCACCATTGAGCTATATCCCCAGAACTTTTTATTGGTGATACTGGGGAATCAAATGAGGGGGAACTTTACCACCTCCAGCCCTTTTTATTTTGAGACAGAGTTTTGCGAAATTGTCCAGGTTGGCTTTGAACTTGAGATCCTCCTGCCTCAGCCTTCCCATTACTTAGGATTACAAGTGTGAGGAAACTTAGAGTTCAAGTGATTTCTCTAGGGTCTCACAGTCATAAGAGACAGACCTGGGACTTGAACCCAAGTTGCCTGGCTAGGGTCAACGTTTCCGCTTTACTCTACTACATAGCTTCTCAGCTCTGTCTTCCTACAACTCTTGGATGTTTCCTCTCTTCCTCTATCACAATCCCAAGGCTCTGTGGCTTCCCAGTCAGGTGACCTCAGGCAAATGATTCATCTGGGATGACCACCAACCTTTAGCAGGCTACAGAAAGCTAGATGATACACTTGGAGCATCTGGTACTATCTAGCTGAGTGCAAGAGCCCAGTCAACCACAGCAGTAACCATTACTCCCAGGGATTAGGACTGAGTGGAAATAGTCATTTCTTGCTCATCTCCATGCCCCCTGAATGCCAATCATGTCCTGGAGGCTCACTAACATCTCGTGATTTGAGTGCTTCCTTCCAGCTTATTTTCACAGGAATCCCAACAAACTTCTGAACCTGCTTTGGAACCTGGGAACAAAGGGTGCTGGCAGGCAGAGAATTTGAGGAGGCAGATAATCCAAAGATAATTGATCCCAGGTCGTGGAAAGCATTTTGTTTACGGCAGCAGGGCGACCTTCCCAATTATGGTCTGCTTAGGCTAACGTTACAGCCTGCCCTCCCCAGTGGACTGGATCACCATGCCTGCTTACCACAGTCCTGCAGGGGACAGGGACAGGGACAAGCTGGGACTGGTTTACCTGTGGCTGAGAGGTGACTGACACACAGAGGCATGAAGCAACGTCCCCAAGGATACCCTCAGATCCAGGGCCCCTCTTTTTTGGGGGAGAGGGCGGTACCTGAGCTTGAACTCAGGGGTACTAGGCCACTGAGCCACAACCCCAGCCCTATTTTGTATTTTATTTGGAAACAGGGTCTCACTGAGTTGCTTAGCACCTTGCTTTTGCTGAAGCTGGCTTTGAACTTGTGATCCTCCTGCCTCAGCCTCCCAAACTGTTGGGATTACAGGTATGCGCCACCACACCTGGCCCAGGGGCCCTTGTTTTGTATTAGCAGAGCCCAGGTACATTTCTATGAACAGGTGGTTGCTTGTAGAAATGCTGTCGGGGGCTGGAATCCTGTCTACCAACCAGAGAGCGTCCAGCCAAAGTGTACATCATCAGATACTGAAAGTCTTCAATGCTTCAAGGGCCCAGTCTGGCCTTAAAATGAATCCTTATGGTAGTCAAGAGGAGACTCTTTCCACTTTTGTATACATGAGAAAACTGGCTTCAAAGCAGTAAAGCATCTTGCCCTGGGTCCCTAGGCCTATCCCCAACACTTTTGGGCACTGGGCCAGGCCTCTCCCCTGAATAGAGAATCACTGAATTCTTACCAGGCTTTTTGTAAGATTCCCCCCTCAACTTCACCTGGTGAGCAGGTAAATTTGGCATTCTAGGAAACTCTCCTGCCTCCTAGAGTTCAAAGGTCATGTTAGCTCCTAGATTTTCTGGGTCTGTAGGAAGGAAGCCCTCTGGGGGCAGGAAGCTGGTTATGCTGACTCATACGCCAAGGGAGAGTAATCCAGGAAACTTGTCATTCTGTTGCCATGGTGTCGGGGCTGACAGGCACCCCTTCTTCTCTGAGGCTCACTCAAGGACCGGGTGGAGAACCCTCAGACCGCCCACCTTGCACCCAGATCTCTCCCATAGAATTTCGGCTTCAGGGTAAACACAGTTACCCTTTGGTAACTGCTGCCCCAGAATGGAGGCTGTCCCAGAGTTCAGCCCTTCCCTGCCTGCAGAACTTGGGGGTTCCTTCAGCAGTGCTAGGAAGCCTTCTCCACACAGGCTGAGGAAAATAAAGGTCCTAAGAGACAGTGTGGGTGAGTCAAGGCCCACCCAAGGATCACTGTTGCCCGCCTCTCGACTTCCCCTGCACTTGTTTTTAGCAAGAGGAAGAAGACCTGTTTTGGTCAGGAGGAAGAGAATTTGAGAAGCCAGAAAGTGTTACCCATTGGATCCTCACCCGTACTGGGGTGAGAAGGTGTCTGGGGCAACTATGATTTATAACCCCGAGGAAAAGGGAACAGGCATCCCACCATCTCAAACCCAGAGCGGTGCAGGGAAAAGCTGACAACTGGTGGCTCCTTCCCCATAAGTTGAAAAAAACTTTCTTTGGTTTCAAAGAAACTGTTTTGCTCTTTCTTTTCCCTAAGCCTGGTCCTACCATGCTAGGTGGACACTGATCAGAGCTTTGTGCACCAGCAGACCTGGGTCCAAATCCAGCTCCACCACACTAGCTGTGTGGCCTTGGGAAAGTCTCTTGACAAAAATCAAGAGATTGCTGAGGAGTGAGGTTAGGGGGGAGGGAACCTGCACACAGTGAGTGTTCAGTAAAAGTCAACTATTCTTTTTTTTTTTATATTTATTTTTTAGTTGTAGTTGGACACAATACCTTTATTTCACTTATTTATTTTTATGTGGTACTGAGGATCAAACCCAGGGTCCCACACGTGCAAGGCAAACGCTCAGCTGCTGAGCCATAACCCCAGCCCTGAAAAGTCAACTATTTTTAAGAGATTTTTTTTTTTTTTGGTGCTAGGGGTTGAACCCAGGGCCTTGTTCAGAGTTCAGCCCTTGTGAGACAAGCAGTTTACCAACTGAGTTATACCCCCAGCCCCTCTTAAGAGATTCTTTAGGCACAAGACAAACTGGTCACTTAGAATTTGAGACTGACAGAACAGAATTCCATCATTTTGTCCTAAACAAAAAAATTCGAGATCTCCCCCTTTACTCTCCTCTCTCGGATCTCCTCTTTTTTTAAGAGAGAATTTCAATATTTATTTTTCAGTTTTCAGCGGACACAACATCTTTGTTTGTATGTGGTGCTGAGGATCGAACCTGGGCCGCATGCAGGCCAGGCGAGCACGCTACCGCTTGAGCCACATCCCCAGCCCCTCAGATCTCCTCTTAAGGGATCCCTCAATTTCATTCTCAATTGGGAAGAGAAATCTTTTTATCATTTCAGAAATCAAGATCCAGGGGCTTGGTAGAGTGCTTGCCTCACATGCACAAGACCCTGGGTTCAATCCCAGCACCATAAAAAAAGAAAAAAGAAATCAAGACTCAGGGCTGGGGTGGTAGTCAGGAAGATCACGACTTAAACTGACCCTGTCTCAAAATAAAAATTATAAAGGGGGTTGGGGGGCTGGGGTTGTGGCTCACTGGTAGAGCACTTGCCTAGTACGTATGAAGCACTTGGTTCAATCCTCAGCATTGCATATAAATAAATAAAATAAATATATTGTATCCATCTATAACCAAAAATTATTTTTCTAAAAATTAGGGCTGTGATTGTGGCTCGGCATGAGAGTCCTTGCCTAGCAGGTTTGAGGCCCTGGGTTTGATCCTCAGCCCCACATAAAAATAAAGATATATATATTTTTTTTAATTAAAAAGGGCTGGGAATGTAGCTCAGGGTAAAGTGCTCACTTAGCATGTACAAGGCCCTAGGTTCAATTCCCAGTGCTAAAAAAGATAATAAGTAAATAAATAATGTCTAGAGGGGATAGTGGTTTGCCTGAGGTCACACAGGCAGCAAGTGGCAAAGCTGGAGAGCTGCTTCCTGACCCCTAATCTCCTGGCCTTTCCACTGTGGCCCAGTGTACTCTGGGCCCTGCTGCACTGGCCCACTTGTTTGTAGAGCACAAGGAGAGACCCAGCCACACACTCCCTTCCCAAGAAAACATCAGGGTGCAGCCACTCCCATCCTCAAGGCCAAGGGCTTAGCTCATCATAGGGGAGGCAGGAGTGCTGGGGGGGGGGTAGGCTCCATTAATGCAGGCTGATGTCACTGAAAGCAATAATGATGTAGTTGTTATGCAGTGTCCTGTCCCAGAGAAATGCCAAGATCCCAGGCCTGAAGGTATCCCCAGAGCCACTTCTGGGGCCAAATCTGCAGCCTTCCCCACCCCACACAGAGGCTTCTCACTTCAGCCCCTTGGGATCAAAGGAGAGGAAAACATGCCTGCAATCAAAGAAGAGCCTGTTCAAGGGGAACATGTCCCACCTCCTCCCCCACACCCAGTGACTCAGTGGCTAGTTTCAGGAGAAGAAACTGAGGATGGAAAGTGGTTGTCAAACTCCCAGGCTGAGGCTCTCGGAAAGTGGGGCGGAAAAAAAGGGTGTCAGGAAATCCCCTCTACTAGTTGATAAAAGAATATAGCCAACACCTTCCGGCCTCAGCTGTTGGGGCACAAGACAGCTCCGGGATCTCCCTATCCTCACCTCCGGACATCTGCACCCAAATAGGTCGGACGCTCCAAGTTCCTCCTTTTTCCCTGACTCATCACGCGGGGTGGTATTCTTACAGATCTAACTTTGGGGACGCATCATTCATGCTATGTCCCTTTCCCATTTGCTGCACCCTACTTGCTCTGGTTAAGGCACCTGTATCCCTGAACACCTGCACGACTTGTCACCACCCCACATCGGGTGTCCCGAGTCGCCCACCTCTCCTCACGTCCAGCGCCTCTGGCCCCCCTCTCGCGTCCACGACGGCTTCTCCCAGCTCTTCCCCTCACCGCGGCCCGCCCAGCCTGCTCCCCAGT